CGTTACCGCTTGAGCCACATCCCCAGCCCAAGTTTCACTTATTTTTATTTACCTATTATGTTTCTGTTATCTAGATCATGCATTAGTTTTTTGTCCTTTTCTGCCTCTCCCCTCTTCTACTTTGTTTGGGATTAATATTGCTTTCTTTTTCTAAGTTGTCAGTTTGTTTATTTTGTTTTGTTTTTTTTTTTTTTAATGGAAATTTACTGCTTTAGCTCACATACCATAATTTTTTCTAGCTTAACTAGTAAATGGAATTTCTTAGCGGACATGTTTTCTTTTCTTTCAGTGGTGGTGCTGGCAATTGAACTAGGGCTGCTTTACCTCTGAGCTTCATCCCCATTTTTTTTAATTTTTATTTTTTTTGAAACAGGGTCTCACCAAGTTGCTGAGGCTGGCCTCAAACTTCAGTCCTCCTACACTGTGCCCAAATGCTGGACATGTTTTGTTTTATAAACATATAAGTAAAAAATCAGAGGAGTGTCTGTTGTACTAGTCTGTTGTGGCTACAATCTTTAAAATTAATCTACATGCTGTAAAATATTATTATTATAAATCTGCATTCTACCTAAGCTATTGAATGTCATGTGGTACATCTTTCTGCTTTTGGAAGGTGATAAATTGATGTTGTTTGAGATTTTCCCTTAATTTTTTATCATGTGACAGATAGTGGAAATCAAAATGAGGTTCTTTTTTATTTTTATCAGCAACACATAAATTTTTTACTTTTTTATTGTGGAAAAATTAAAGAATATTCAGAAACTGAAAGGATTTATGAGACTGTAGATATCTATTAGTTAATTTCTGTAATAATAGGTGGTCAGTTTTCTTTAACCTGTATTCCACTATATCTGCATTACTTTGAAGCAAATCTCAGAATTTATTGTTTTGTTCATTAATATTTGGCATGTATCTTGACAAAGGCTCTTTTTTTAAAATATATTTTTTTTTAGTTATACATGGACACAATATATTTATTTTTTTAATGTGGTGCTGAGGATCCAATCCAGTGCCTCGCATGTGTGAGGCTTTTTCTTTTAGTCGTAGATAGGCACAATGCACTTATTTATTTATCTATTTATTTTTATGTGGTGCTGAGTATTTTTAATTTTAAAAAAGATCATTTTCAAAAACCATTATAATACCACTTAGCATACCTTAAAATTAACAGTAATTTTTCAATGATGAGATAGCCAGTGTTGAACTTGATCTTACAAATTTTTTTTCTCTGTGGTGTGTTTGAGTGCAGATCTTAATAAGTTTTACTCTAGCAGTCTGTACTTTATAACATACTTTGTTCAGTGAAGTCTTTTCTTTCTTTTTTTAAAAAATATTTTTAGTCGATGGACTTTTATTTTATTCATTTATTTATATGTGATGCTGAGAATCAAACCCAGTGCCTCACACATGCTTGACGAATGTTCTACCACTGAGCCACAACTCCAGCCCTTATTATTCAGTGAAATCTGACCCAAGAACTTTACCAAGGGGAAAACTCAAAATTTGCATTTTTCTTATCATAATGAAAACTTTTATTATAATTAACCTTGGGAGAATTTTGTTATGTTCCCCTAGTTTTGTATGACATTTTGTGTTGAATGTTAAAAATTAGTGCTAATTGAAGAATATAATGGTGAACAAGAAATACATCTTTTTCTATTATTTAGTCATTTTTAAAGAATGGTGTTTTGGCATGCATGGTGGTACATGCCTGTAATCCCAGCAACTGGAGGTTAATATTAATAAGGCAAGGTGAGCAACTTATCAAGGTCATGTCTCAAAACATAAAAAGGACTAGGGGTATAGCTCAGCTGTAGAATGCCCATGTGTTCAACCCCCCCACTACCAAGTGGGTGGGAGGGCAAAGAATGGTGTTTGGGTTTTATATTTAAAACTTTAGTTCTTGTCGCTATAAACTGTTTTCTTGGTTTTGTTTATTTTGATGGCAAAAATAATCTGTTTGAAACATCAGTGTGCTAAGTGCTATGATAGGTTTTACTTTTCTAAATGTACATTCCAGTTTGACTTTGTAAGACAAAGTTCTTGTCCTCAAATAGCTTAAATTATAGTGGAAGAGATACAGTCATTAGAAAATAATGATGGCAGGTTGACTGTTATCTTTCTTAATACTCTGTTTGACATGATTATTTTTTTGGTTTAACTATTTTTCTTTCCACTTGTGTTTTATGACTACATCTCACAGGAGAGCCTTATAGATGCAAGTGAAGACAGCCAGCTAGAAGCTGCCATCAGAGCCTCCTTGCAAGAAACACATTTCGATTCAACACAGGCAAAACAGGATAGCCGTTCAGATGAAGAATCTGAATCTGAACTTTTTTCTGGCAGTGAGGAGTTCATATCCATTTGTGGCTCTGATGAAGAAGAGGAGATAGAGAATCTTGCCAAATCCAGAAAGTCTCCCCACAAGGATTTGGGGCATAGAAAAGAAGAGAATAGAAGACTACTGACTGAGCCCCCTGCTAGAACTGAGCCTGGAACAACCACAAATCACCAGGGATTGCCAGCTGTGGATCCAGAGATTTTGGAGATGTCACCCGAAAAATCTGATGGAGTAGTAGAGGGAATAGATGTAAATGGTGGGTTAGAGTACATACTTACTTAAAGCTTGAATATTATATATTACTATTGGCACTTGTTTATTTAAATTAATCTCCTATCTTAAACTCATTTTTTTTTTTTTTTAAAACTCTTCCCTTAAGGACCAAAAGCACAGCTGATGTTGCGGTACCCAGATGGAAAAAGGGAACAGATCACTCTCCCAGAGCAAGCTAAACTGCTAGTAAGTATAGCTATTAGAAGCATTTGGTTGAATCAGAGAAATTAATAAATTGAAGTAAGTCCCTGGGTTCAATATTTAGTACTGCAAAGGGAGGGGGGGCAGTATTTTATATTTAATTCATTAATGCTGTTCTCTTTGGGGTTTTTTGGTCCTGAAAATTGGAACTTTCAGGGATGATCTACCCAGTCCTTTTGTAGTTTGAGTATCACTAAGTTGCTAAGGCCAGCCTTGAACTTGTGATCTCCTGCCTCAATCTCCTGAGTCACTAGGATTACAGACATTTGCCATTTTCCCTTTTATTTTCATCTCATAGGTTTGTTTTTCTCTGTTTCTCTTAGGCTTTGGTGAAGCACGTCCAGTCTAAAGGATATCCAAATGAACGTTTTGAACTTCTCACCAACTTCCCTCGAAGAAAACTTTCTCATTTGGACTATGATATTACATTACAAGAGGCAGGGCTTTGTCCTCAAGAGACTGTCTTTGTACAGGAAAGAAATTAACACCATGGCCTGACCTCTCTCAGCTTACCCCTTTTTTCCCTTTTCCTGTGAGATACCGTGTCACTAAGTATGCATTTTGGCTCATAGGACCATAGAGTCAAAGTTGGCAAATAAGTCACCTGCCTTCTCTTTTATTTCTTGTTCTCACCTGTAATCAGTCTCTTTCTCCCTCCCCACTTTTTTCCTCCCCCATTCTCTTATTTTTTCCCATGTCCTTTCTTTCTTACCTAATCTGGTGACCAAATGGAAGTGTATGGATAAATCTCTCCTAGTACTGGCAGCAGGAAATGTGTGTGTCAATAAGTGATCTCTTGCACGGCACTTTTTCGGGATCAAATGAAACTACTTCTGAGACTTCTTTGACAAAGAATGGCTGGATGCAGAATAAGAACAACCTTTCTTTTTTTGTAAGCCCTCATTTGCAGTAAGAAGAACTTCTCAACCAATTTTTGTTGTTGTTGTTGTTGTTCTTCATGTAGGAAATAGCACGTAACAAAACATCCAAGCTTTTGTTTACATGGAAAAAGCACCATAATTATTACTGATCATATTTGAATTTTTTTCCCCCAAAGAATTCCCATTTTCCCATTTATAAGAGCTATTTCCATGATACGTGTTAGTAGAAAAATGAGTGTTCAGTTTAGGATATGTAGCATGGGGTTGCTTTCAGTGGCCTAGCCTGAGACAGCTTTCTTCATTACTACTGTGTAATATTGATCTTGCTAGTCCTAGAATGGACATTTAGTGAGCATATTGTAGTGACCGGGATAGGAAGGTGCTTGCCGTTTTTGCTAGTACAGCATATTAGTTCCTTTGGCTTCTCCATTGTCTGGGTCCACAACAATCTGTAGGAAGGCAGCTATTCAATAATCATGCAGTACAATGGCTTGTAATTGTAACCCTTGTGGTTATGGATTGTCCTATGTGCTTAAGGCATACTTAGGTATGTCCCAGGGTAAAAGAAAACTACGCAGCTGAGAGTTGCTAACCATGTTCCTTTGGTTATAAATAATGATTCTTTTTTTTTTTTTTACCCCTGGTTGGAGTAAAAAAGGCTCTGGTGACTGACCGGCCTTTAATTCCTCATAGTTTTCTTTCAAAGGATATCAAAACTGAAAGTCTCCAAAAGGAAGACCTTTAAGCTAAATTCTTTAAAAGACAACATTTTAGTAAGGGATGCTGAGGGTTGCCAGTGATCTTCAGATGTTGTGGTGTTTTTCTGACAACAAACGCCACATTCAAATATTAGTTAGTGAAAACTTCTTTCAGTATTATTTAGAAAAAGGCATCTTGAATCTATATAATACTGTTTACTTATCAGCTTCACTATATGCTCAGTTCTTCCTTTGAGCTTTATATAAAGTCTTCTGACAGGATAGTAGTAATCTCGTGGCAAAATCAGAACTGGTTATAAAACCATTTATATAGAATGACCTGTTTTGTCATTTGGGGTTTGAATTGATTCTTCTACTTGAGGAACAAATGGCAAATTGCTATTGCTCAGAGACCTTTTAGGTTCCCATTTACTGTAAGATCACTTTCTTGGCAACTAAGGGATTAAAAAAAAAAAAAAAAAGAAGAAAAAAAAAAGCTGTGTGTTGCTAGTGTACAGTTATAGACTATGGTTTTTAATGGTTGGATTTTGAGGGACCCTTCCTAAAGAATGAGTTATGTATCTCCTCAAGGAAATCATGGAAAATTCTGTTATTCTTCAGTGAGTCCTTTAATGTTCTTAACATTTTTTTCTAAGTCTGTGTAAGTGCTTATGTACACGTATATAATTGTATAAATATTTATAAATATATTTATATAATTGAAATTTCATTTATACCTTGAGTCAAAGTTCTCTCTTTAGATCGGTGACTGAATAATACCACTTTGGTGTTTTTCATAGGCTCTTGAGGCTTAACTAGCAGCTTCTGGTTTATTGAGGAAACATGGTTTTTAATGTTAATTCCTCAGTTATATCTCTGAACTTGTATAACAGATTTGCTATCTGAGGAACAGAGCTATATACTAGAAGGTACATTAGAGAGTAAAAAACTTGTTGATAGTTAGTCAAGGTCAGAAATTAAAAATTCATGGAGGCACAGGGTAAGAAGTGAGGATATGCTCAGCTTTGTGCTTTGATAGCAGCTATCTTCACTCCCAGCAAAGTCATAGCTAAAACCCAAATTGGTCGAAATTCTAAGTTAAGAATTTTAACTTATAGGACTGTTTCATCCTCTTTCCTACTAGCTTCTCTCTTCATAAAACATATCTTGAAGTCCTGAGGCAGCATGCTCATAAATGAGGGGATGTAGTTTTTAAATATGCTCAGCACTGGCAAACCAGATATTAAAAACCAAAGTGACTTTTTCAACTTGGGTCACTATGAGATGACCGAGTATATATAGGATTTAAGTAAGAGTCAGGGCATGGTACATTCATCCATCCTGGATACAATCAGATGTTTAGAGTACAGAATGTAGGGGATTTTGTTTCATTTTGAAGCAGGAGTGTAATCATCTTGAGGTGGATAGAGAGGCCCATGAGGAGAGGTTATGGATTATACTTGGGAAAAGTAAGTGCAGAGTATTGCTTTGTTCAACTTAATCTATTTAGGGAGTATGCTTTCTCCAGTTTGCCTTATTTCCTCTACAAGTTCCTTTGCTTTTTGAGGGAGAGGTTTTATTGAATAGATTAAATGAAGTCAGTAAGGTTAGATAAAAATAGTCACTCCCCCTGGTAAATATTGGAAACAACTTAAAAGACAGTTTTTAAAAGGTATGGTGGAAAAGATAGATTTTGAGAGTGACAAAAGGATAGGGAGATAGAATGAAAACTAGCAAGGAAAAAGTGAGAGGGACACTTTATTGAATATGATTTAGAAAGAAACCACAGAAGAGAAAGAATAGTGCCAAATGAGGGAAGAACAAGGAACTAAAGTAACTAGCATGTGCTGTGTGCTTCATGTGCTTTTTCTCCTTTAATCCTCCTACAAACCCTACAAAATGTATAATTTCCCCATTTAACAAATAAGGAAGAAAATTAAAGTTCATAGAACTTGTTAAGGATGTCACAGCGAGTAAGTGGCAAATCAAAATTGGAATTCAGAGTCCATTTCTTTGACCCTGGTGCTGTGTTCTCCCACATAAGGGAAATACGCCCAAAAAAGTATCCTCCTTGTTTGGCTTTGTAAATTAACAGCTGGTTTTGTTTTCTTAAAGCTAGGGGGAGTAGTTGAGGTAAAGCTTGTGGAATTTGCACTATGCCTATAACTTCTTACTTATTTTGAGAGACTAATTATTAATAATTGCTTTTTTAAAATGATGCACTGATGAATATGTGAAAGGAGAATAACTATCTAACATTATTTGCCAAGAATAAATGTAAAGGGTAAAAAAGAATTTTCTTTCTTTAACCATTTTTCAGAAAAGATACAATTAATCTTTTCTGTGTTCCATCCATGCTAGATTATTGAACCTTCTATGTGTGTTTTTAAATCTTCTATAAAATTCTACTTCCTTGACCCTATGAAGAAACAGTTTTATGTTGAATGCTTACTCAAAGTTGGAAATATTTTGAAATCTAAGATCTGATTCTTTACTGTTATCCAGTTAGGGAGACACATTACACATAAGATCATTGGAGAATATGTAAATGTTTGCCTTTCCCAGATGAAACTATAATTACAACAGAAGTTTAGAGAAAGGAAGGAATCGTGTAGGTTTTAGTTAGCTGATTCTTCACAAAGAAAGAGGACTGAAGGGTGACAAACACTAGCTCAAATTTTTTTTTTCATCTATAATCTTTAGTTTCACCTTTTTTAACTACTAGGTTTTTGGTTCAGTGAGGCATAACCAGTACTCAAGTATCAAAGGATTCTTGATCCCCAACACTAAAGATTCTTAATTACCAGAGATCTTACTTGGACACTTAGGAAAAACACCAGAGGGAGTTACTAGCAACTGAAAAATAAAGGAAAGTTTTAACTTGTCCACCCAGGTACAGATTAAAGGTATAGTGTATTATATAAGAAATGCAGAAAAGGCACTATTTTAGGTTTAAGTGCACTTGGGTAATAGCTGTGCTAATCAACTGTTATATTGGAAAGTCTCTTTCTACCTCTGAGTCTTGGGTTCCTCATCCAAATAATTGAAAAATCTGACTAATAATTCTCAGTCTTTTCAAGCAAAAGTACTTATAATTTTAAATTCTGGCATGGGTATGGAATTGTGGGATTAACTGTGAATATAATTAATTCCGTAGAGAAAATGTAATGTGCATTGGAATTGCAGAGCCCTTGCAGAAACTCTAGGCGCCCACATACTGTAGACCACTGAGTTGCATTATCTCTAAAGTCCTCCAAAATTTTATGCATCTGGTCTTTCCCCTTTGTTATATATTATCCTTAGGCTTATTAAAAGTGTTCTTGTTAATGTGTTCCTTTGCTTTTTTTTCCCCTGTGTCCAGATATCATTTGCCCAGTAACTTGATAGAAGCATACTTCGATGATTTGAAATTCCCCAAAAGGGGAGTTTAATAGCTATTAGAGATCTAGTAATGACCTTTGAAACAATTCATTAATTTTTAATACATAATGCTGTGTGCCCACTTGTTGTTCTATACAACTAAAATGTAATTAATGAGAACCAAATACATCACTGACACTGGAGTTGAATTTTATTTTGTGGACTTTAAACAAAGGACTTAACTGACTCAGCAATTGTTAGGAAACTGTATAAGTTGTAGAATTCACATTTGGATTTTTTTTTTTTTTTTCTTTTTTGGATGGTGCTGGGGATTGAACCCAGGACCTTGCGCATGTGAGGCAAACACTCTTATCAATTGAGCTATACCCCCAGCCCAGGACCCCATTAAGTTGACTTTTAAAGATAGTTCATGTCCCATAGAGTGTATTTCATTGTTTCAGTCTCTCTTCCTGCCCCCACTTTTGCCATTTTTCATTTAACTACTATGTAGTAAATTATACAGTGCAGGCTGATGAATAAGCAATGTCTTGTGTATAGCCAAAAGAAGAAATCCTGCCCCAAGGAAAAAAGTAAAAAAGAACTAACCCTTCTGCAGTTTCCAGTAATAATAAGCCTTGATGAATAGGCCACATAAAAATAGGTATAAATTATGAATATTCAACATCATTGGTTTGCCTTGCTTATTATATTAGCATTCCAGTTATTGTCATGAAACTTAGTATTGCATAGTATACATTTTAGAATAGAAGCAAGAATGTTCTTTAGAACAGAAGAATACCACTCCACTATATTAATTTCCTCTGTTATGTAGAGATTGGGTATTTCAAGGATGATATTCTTGATTTTTTACTTACCTATGTGTCAATCCAGTTGGACAGCTTAAAATCAAGGTTGTTTTTGTTTTTAATAGAGATTATGGTTTCCTTGGTTAATTTTTCCTATGAAGTGAATTCATGTGATTATAGATTTTTGGATGTTATGAAAACTTTTAATTGGAAAAATCTTTTACAATCTTACTTTCTCTTTTGCTTCTCTATTCTTGATTTTGACATCCTTTCTCTGAAATTAGTCATGATTTTTAATTAATTGGCTATGTTTTAAGAAATTCCACTTCTGAGTCTTTTTTTTTAATAAATTAATATACAAGGGAAGAATTTGAGGCAGACATTTTTTTAATAGCTAATTATCTCTACTTAAGGAGAATTCTTTTATTCCAAATAGAGAATGGCTGACTGTGACACCCCTACCTTTTGACATAAAGGTTGCTGTTGTATTACTTAGAATCTTGGCCATTCTCATACCATGGTGATGTTTGGCCATATTTTTTATGACCTTTTTCTACCATGTGATCCCAAAGTAATGTTGTATAATCCAATATGAACTTCTTAAAACATAATTTAGCATTTCTGTAATGAGGTAGTTTAAGAAGATAACCAGATTTATTTGTAGAATTAGAAATACAGGTAACCAATTATAGTATTTTTGCCTAAGAATAATCACATATTAATCTATAAATATGGGAACTTATCTTGCTATAGTTAATTCTGTGTCAATAAACAGCAAATTTTTGTTTGTTTAGTGGTATTTCCTTTGTGGAAACCAAAATATCCTAAGATTTTATATACCTCATAAGGTCACTTAATTTTCAAATGGAAAGAACAGCAAGATAAACCAGACTGAACTTAAGTAATATTTTATCTTCATTAGAAACGATGTTATTAATCTGTCTAGACTACCAAGAGTCATTCACTCATTAGAAAATTGAAACAGTCAACTTATTAAATTCTGATCTGTTTTTAATTCTCCCTTCCTTAACATCTGTTTTATTTGCCATTTTAATAGACTTAGGGAATCTTAACTGGTATGAGAGAGATTTTTGATTTGAAACCATTCCTTACCATTCTTTTTTTTTTTCCCCACAATCAAGGTTGTTGACATGATACATTTCATCAAAATACATTTCAGTTACTGACATTGGAAAGTAGATACCAGTTGGATACCTTGCTGTTTTGAGCAAAATGATTTTATTGTGTGCTTTTCTCAAAGTCTTTGTGTTCTTAATAATGGAAGATATCAGACAACATAATTCCAAATACACATTGGTTTATGACACTAATCATATGCTCTTACTAACTTTTCGGTAACCAATTGCCCTGTTTATTAATCCTCACATAGAGTGGCCATTGCCTCCAGAAAATCTGTTACCTGCTAATTAATTAGAAGGAAAGTATGTTGCCTCCACTTTTCAGTTAACGAGTAGCAAACTTGTAGAGGCTGTTTATCTTACCCATTTGGGAACTTGGGACTTGCTGCTTTCTCTTCGGTTTGCAGACTATCTAAAACACCTTCTGGGAAGCCGTAAAGCTGTGAGATAATCCTCTAGCCTCAGATGTGGGGAAATGAGTACCAATGGATGCTAATAGGAAACATAGACTTGGGGGGCATCCATCCAAGCTTTGGCATGAATCTTGTTATACACAACTTTTCACTCCTCTAAGAATCTTTTTCCTCCCCAGAATGATTTTTCTTTTGATTGTTAATTCTAAGCATCTGGTGTTCTTGCCCTACCCCTTAATCATTAAGGCACTCCTTTTTCTCACAGGTATCGATTTATTGTTCCATGTTAACTTTTCAAGAGTGTGGTCTCCGTGCATGCTTTGTATGAGTTCAGTTTGAACAATGTGTTTAGTACCATACACCTGAGATGTCCAATTCTGTCATTTCTTCACTAATTGTGTTTTTAAAACATCTTCCATGTCATTTTCTAAACTTTACTTCCCATCTTATTCAGAGAAGTCAGTCAAGGAATGAAATTTGTTTTGGGGTAGGGATGAGGGTGGGTTGGGGACTTGAGTGAAGTCATCTTGGGGTATGTGCTTTAAAAGTGTTTGCTCAAGCAGTTCATAACAGTATTTAGAGATTCCCTGGGATGTTTGTGTACTGAGCTTATTCTCGATAAAGTGGTGGTCTTACTGAGATTTGCATTCTTATTGCAGGACAGGCTCTAAATTTAATCTACAATATAACCTCGTTATTGAATCCAAGATGAATGGACAGAAACACTGCTCTTACTGTAGTGTTTCTGCCATGCACTCCCTAAAGTGCACAGTTTGAGGGGCCTTGAATTCAGTGGTGCTCAGAGATATCATTTGTTTCTGCAGATCTTCCCAAAAGTGAAAGAAGGCTTTGGGACCAGTGAGGAAGGGGTAACTAGATCATCCACTATTTTTTGTTGTTGTTCAGGACCCAATAGAGATCCTCCTATATATCTAGTAAGTGATAATAAAGGTGCTAGGGAAAGCCTTAAATTTGAAGACACATGGAGGTGGTAAAAATCTGAACTTAAAAGGAGAAAAACATGCCGCTAGGTAGGGCAGAGCTGTAACTGCTGGCTAAAACTCAATGGAACTTCCACTTGCTCTGAAACCAGGGAAGTCTTAGATAACTGGGTGTGATGGATCTATAGATGAATATAGTCTAAGGTAAACACTTTCTAAAGTGAGAATCTTTCTCACAGTTGGTGATCCTCTGGTTTTGGCTGTACCAAATTGTGAATATTCTTGCTGTGTTGTACCCAGTTGCTTTATATTAATACTGCAACTTGAATTGGGGAGGGTGGGTGGGACATCTGGGTGGGGGAGGGAGGGGAGTGGGACGATAAGTCTTTTGAAGACATCAGCTCACTGTGCTGAGAGAGGGACCAAACTCAAGGAAACCTCTGATCTATAAATTCAACTGCTGCATTTTTTTATAAATACATGTAAATGTCCTGTTGTAATATTTGATCTTGGAAATAAAAACAAAAACTTTTCAGTATTTTTTTGTATCATTTTTTGTGTGGTAAGACTCTTTTGAGTACTACTTTCATGTAATTCAAAAGCTTGCCCTCATATTCTCATGTTTAAGACTCAGTATTTATTGAAAAAGGTTAAATCATAGTCCCACGGTTAAGTGTCATATTTACTAGGTCTTTAAAATCTATTCTTAGTAACATATTGAACATTTGTGGTAAACACTCCATAAGTGGTTGAACTGATGAATACATTGAGTGGGTTAGCTAGCATTGTTAGCAAAGTGTGATTCTATATTCGATAGAATTGAGCAATTCAAACATCTAATCTTTCAGTCCAGCAATAACAACTAATTATGGATAAGTGAAGGAAAAATGGTTACCAAATTGTAGAAGAGTCAAGAGGTAACAATTTTTTTCTGTAATAGATAGAAATTGGGGTTGCTCCCACAGAAGGTGGTACACGCCTGTAATCCCAGCTGCTCAGGAGGCTGAGGCAGGAGGATTCTAAGTTTGAAGCCAGCCTTAGCAACTTAGCAAGACCCTGTCTCAAAATAAAAAGGAATGGGGATGGAGATCAGTGGTAGAACATTCTTGGGTCCAATCTCTGCAGCAATCACTTTTGCCTCCTTTCGTAGAACATTGTAGAACATTTCCTTGACCCCATCTCTGGCTTTTTAACCATGTGCCAAAAAATGCGACATAGTGTTGTGCAAAACAGCTCCTACCCTCAAGGAGCAAACTTCCTAGACAGAAATACAGTTGACATCAATGAGAAATACAGATTTGATTAAAATATTATGGGAAAAAGCTAGAAAAGGAGCCAGTAGAGAATTCTACTTAAATTGGATGTTAGGGAGTTAACTTTCAGACTGAGACCTGAAGGATGAAAATAAAGTGATCTGTGCTAAGAATAGGAAGAAAAAAGTTCAAAGGTCATGAATTAGGAGCGTGGGTATTTGAGATGTTGAGAGAAGACTAAGTAGCATGTAGTGAGCAAAAGCACACGTGTGGCATAGGATGAGTAAAAATCAGACCATGCAGAGCCTTAGGTCCTGATTAGGAGCTTGGATATTGTTTTGAGTATATTGAGGAGCAATTGTGGAGAGTGGATTGGAAGAAAGCAAAAGAGTAGAGAAACTTGCAGTGATGAAGATGGA